ATGATCTTCAAATTAAATGATTTTTTCCATGTATGATTTTTAAATGATGATAAAGAAAATGAACGGTTCGGTTATGATGTTTCTACTGTGAAGATGCATTATTCTTAGGTGGGAGGACAAATAGATTTTCTCATAGAAGGAACACAAACATTATCCATTTTAGTTCTCCCCGATTCAAAATTGCAGTTCATCAATGAGTAAATAACGAATTTTGTATACAAAATTCCCCATTCGCCTCAACGAGTAACAAGAATAGGTGCGCTAAACTATTAGTAAGGGTGGAAACTATAGCATCGATTTTCCCATCAACTACTTTCACCAATGGTGATGTTTTAATGTGGTAGATAGTAACACTTACTGTTATGGTTTAATAGTATTCTTCTTTACTTGTAAATGAAAAACATTTTAATTTCGAATTTTCGTAAATGATGAGTTTGAAATCAAATTATTTCGCCACACCTTAGTAAATATATCATTGTAGATAAAATTTGTGATAAATAGTAAATAAGTGCAATAATCGGCTTTGTTTACATCCTTCCAAGTTACTTGTGTAGAATATCCTACATTGGCTAGAGAAAAGAAAAAGAGAAGAGTTTAAATATCACAATTTTACTCTAATTAATACCGAGGTATTTTGTGATTAAACCCTACATCTGATGGATTGTGTGGGTAATAATTATCAAGTTGAGGACAATATCGATGTTAATGCAAGTAGATATTTAACCCGTCTATCTGATAATTTGACAACCAAAATCTCTTGTAGTACTCATGATTGTATTGGGTAGCACTTAGGTTGGATAGGACAATTTTAATAACCACACAATATTAATATTTTGCATAACACATTTTACCAAAAAAAAAATATATATATATATATATATTGCATAACACAGGATTAAAAAGCTAGATTAATTGAACAATATCATTTTAATTTGCGTTTTCATATCCTAGGTCCGGTCTTCGAGTGCTAGGTCTTTGGTCGGAGTCCCAAGGGCCTAGTTAGGAAGTTTTGGGGTTCGAAACTTGAGTTCAAAACTGTAAGATTGAGCTTTGAGTACTAAACATAAGATTACATTGAAGATTATCCGATACTACTACTTATCCCCACCAAATGGTTTACAGCTTACCTAGAACGAGTGAAACATTATCGTAATATCTTGTACCGACGTCAACATCATGACAGTGATATACCTGTTTCATGAAAATCTTTCGTCAAAAGAACCAATTTAATGATGTGTGACCTAGTATTTGTACTATGGCCAAGTCTACTTCATAATGCGACTGAGAGGGAGAAAGTTAGACTAAACAAGATGATTTCATACTTAGAACATTATTGTTCTTGTCTCACCCGAACTAGGTCCAACTTACTCCGGAAAAAAATAAGGATCATTGCTTGGTTACTCAAAGATGAGTAAGAATTTCTACTCAAAATTTTTGGTGTTGGAATCACAAAGGTTTGTGTTTATGATCAAAACCGTTCAAATTATAAATTACTCTGTAAAGATCATCTCTGCAAAAAATAAATCAAAACTAAAGTTGTTTAATTAATTTATTGTAGTAAATACACAAACAATTCGTAATGCTTTTGTTAATTTTATTCATATGTTTTTATACGATTTGATGACTAAAGGACTTCATTTTAATTAATTTTTTACAAAAACAATTTTTATATAATGATTTATAATATAAATCATTCTGATCACAAATATAAAGTTTTATAAATCCACGACAAATAATTTTAAAAAGAAACTCTTACGCAAACTTATTGGGCAGGCCGAAATTAGGTCCAACCAAGCCCACTTCTGTCAACTTCTCAAAGCTAGTGGGGACCTGACCACCAGGCCCACACTTTTTCGGGACATCCAACCAAGTGCACTTTGTGTTGAGGTGGGCAAGAATCTATGCCAACTCTCTTCTGTTGCGGATTTTGTGAATTTTATTTACGAGAATTAGATTGCTTGAGTTTGATTCGTATAATATTTTTATTGTAATAGTATGAGCTTGATTTATGTAAAACTGTTCTTGTAATGATATGAGTTTAATGATTGTACAAAAATATTGTCGTAATAATGCGACGAGAAATACTAAAAAGACTTTTAAAAAGAGGACTCTGACTCTCTATGGATTATTTGATACCCTATATTTTTTGCACAATGTTTTATAATGTTAGCATAAAAATTAACGATAAATTATGTGATGATAGATGGTTCATCAAAAGTCTCACTTTTGATAGAATCCCTTTAGCATTTCCCTAGTGCAAATTTGATTTGTACAAACATTGTCATTGTAATAGAGATTTTGATGATTGTAGCCCATTTTTCGTAGGGATCAAAATCAGGACGATGCATCTCACTCAACTCAAAATTGAATTCAAATTTCTCGCTCCAATGTGCAAGTTTCATCCATTTTCAAGAATCAAACTCAAAATTCTCATATTGTGATAGCCCTCAAATACTTAAAAGGTTGGCTATGCCCAAAACATAAAGTGAAAAATGTAATGCTAACATTAAGTGGCGGATTGGCTTATAGATTACTTTTCTTTTCAACCTACTGCGTCCTGAATCCAAATTCTCTCCATTTCCCTAATTGCAAGCACCCTTTTCATTGAAACCATCATTTTAAGTGTTGCACCATTATGACACATCGTCTATCTTATAGGTTACTCTTAAAGGTTATAGAAAAATTAACCAAATCTAAATGACTTAACCATTTTTAAGAAAAAGGTATGATATTCATTGATATACGTATATCATTGAGGATAGGGTCATACAATGAGAAAATTAGAAAGAGAATGTCCAAATAGAAGTTTGCTAAGATCATCTCCAATGAAGAGAGCTAAACGTTTAAAAATAAAAAAAAATAACCTGATTTATCCAAAAACTCATCTCTAACCAATAACTAAGCTATAACTCTATGGAGCCAACTAGACTTTATTTAGCCAAATGTAACCCCCTATTAGCCCTTTGTTTTTATCAGCTCCTCAATTGCAATAATTGATTCAAATTCAACGATTAGATTTAAAAACATTTAACGGTAGTTTAACTAGATTAACCAATAAATTTAAGGTATAAATGTAAAATTAATAAATTATTGAGAAGGCTATATTTAATCCTTTCGGTTGAAGTTCGGTTGAAGATGGTATGCGAGTATAGCCCGATACTGTTTATTTAAAAATATTTTTTAACAAAACTATAGTTCTGGACGAGTCTATATTTAGCCCTTCCGGGTTGAAAATAGCCTAACATCCTTTGCTGTATATCCTGAGTCCTCACACCGACTCATTCATCTGTCATGTTATAATAGAGCACACCATTTATTTCCAGCAACTGAATTCTGTTCAATTCAGTTCATGCTGATATAAAAAATAAAAAAGGAAAAACATCATGACACCTGTGCATTTTCTCCAAACAGTACAAATGCAGCACAAGTCAATTGAACACATGGAGTTAGTAACTGCTCCTTATCCTGTCCCTATTTTTCAATTTGAGTTACCAACTTGGAGAAGAAGACTGTTCTTGTTTAACCACCCTTGTTTAGCCAAAAAAGGAAAACACCTCAAAATTTTGAGAACTAGGTCAATGCCCCCGGAATGCACATAGAATGCCATGAGCGTATCTTGTGAGAAAGTTAAAATGCATAGCAATCTTGTGAGAAAGTTAAAATGCATAGCAATGTATGATTAATCGAAGATACCGTTACAATTTTATGTCAAATTTTCTAAAGACTATTATAAATGACAAATGTAAGAAAAAATTTCATCTTTTTTATGCCATCACCTACATAAATATATTACAAATTAGAACAATTAAAAAAAAAATTAAAATCCTAACAACTTCTAACAAATGGTAGTCTGCTTTGGAATTAAACGTAGTTTATATACGGAGAGGAATTTAATTCCAAATTTAGGTCAAGTTTGTTACAACACCTTCAATTATCTCTTCCACATTCGATGACCTAAAACAGTCAAGTCTTCCTGCAACACCTTCAATTTTTTCTTTCACACTTGCTTAAAGAAACAAGTGTCAGGAAAAAGGAGTGCCAAAAAAAGGTCTAGTTCCAAACCAAACTCCATCTAAAATTCACCCAAAAATTTTCACATCCATTTGCACAATGATCCAAAGTTTCTTGTTACTTAAACAACAATACTTGACCGATACCGCAGAAATATTGAAAGTAAAGCACATGCAATCAAAACTGCAGGATTCTCTTAAAAAAAAAGGCGTGCAAGTAATTTGCAATCGGTATAGGCAAGTTCGCTCTAAGCTCCATTTCCTCTCTCGTAAATTAATTAGAATACCGCTCCAATAAAAGAAACAAGCAAGTAATTTGGATCAACGGAATCTGTGAACTAGTATCTCCATGATCCTGAAGTGTCTCTAAACAACTTAATTAAAGCTATGACACTATGTAATAATTCGTGTATAATTAAAGCTATGACACTATGTAATAATTCGTGTATGAGCATATCCTTTTGTATAAACAAGATATACTCTCATGAATAAAAGAAGAATCAATTATGTAAACAGTTCTCTAAGACCAAATGGAAAGTCTCTGCACTCTGTCAAATTGGTCGACCGACCCATCAAATCATGCAACCCTAAACCCTAAAGTCCTGGCAAGCACAAAACCATCCATACCAACTTGCTCTCAAGCTATCTACTATCCAGATGGACCTCAATTGACATTCTTGTCGGAGCATGCACATAACTGGAAACTCAACTTTCAATTAATTATGCATGAAACCAACTGTTTTTGGCATACATTATTGAATTTAACGGTTGCATACGCACTAAGAATTCAAGGGAATTTATCGAGTGAACATTCGAGTAAACCGGAGACACTAAAGCAATGTACAGAAAATTCTTGTAAAGCTTACCAATAAGGAAGAATTTTCACAAACATTTTGCAATGGAAATTTCAAGAGCTCCAAAACCCCTCCATTTCTTGACTATTTTCTTCTTCATTGCCTACACAATGATCAATATATTCTCCACAGAAGATTAAGCGAAAGACGAACAAAATACATTCATACGATCCACCGGTTTTGAAACATAGCTACTGAGAAAGAAAAAATAAAACCTAATAACAAAACTAAAGAGATTTCAGATTTCACAAGCAAAAGATATAAACAAAATAGTCCTCCTCCTACCTTTGCTTGCTGTGCCTACAAAAGCTGTCAAACATATTTTTTTCACAAAACCAAAAAAAGAACCAAGTCAGTGATCAGACCAAGCATCTTTCTTTCTCCTTCCTTCTCTCGATCTCTCAATCTTTGTTGTCTCAGTAAGATGGAGGAGGGGGTCTTGGAGGGGGAGGACCCCAGAATATATCTTGAGGGATCTGACCACCATTCGCAAGTAAATTTGAAGGCAAATTGTAAACAGCCATTGCACTAGTATGCTCACCCAAACCTTGGGAACTTGAATTTGCTCCTGTCCCTGCCGAATTCACACCTGATTGCTGCTGCTGCTGCTGTTGTTGCTCCAACTGCATTCCTCCTTCTCCACCTTGTTCCTCCTCAAGCGGCAGCCTCTCATATGTCGCGTTTGTGAAGGTAGCTGCTATAACCATCACTGGACCGGAAGCCACCAATGCTCCCATCACGGTGCCTCCCACCACCTGCCCTTGGCCGCCTGCCAAGTACACGGTCAGCCCTGTCGCCCCAGGTGGGGATGGGGAGGGCAGGAATGCCCCTGACATCGATAGTATCTCGAACCTTCCGTGCAATGTGATCAATCCAGTTGGTGCTGCTGGTTGTCGGAGAGTGACATTGGCGACAATGCCAGTTCCGCTGAGAACCGAAACCCCTCTATGCCGCCTTTGGGCAAAGGTGGCAATGCTGTCCACAATGTCGCTGCCGCTACTGATTTCCAACACATGGCTTCGGAGAGCGTTGGGGCTCTCTTTGGTGATGACTATGGGGGGTTTAGGCTTGTTCTTCGACCCGGGCGGCCGGCCACGCGGCCTCCGGTTGCTGCTTCCAGGCTCGAGGCTGTCATGGCTGCCGCTACCGGTGTTGGGGCCCTGATCGTCGCCTTCCTGATCATTGTTGTCCCGGTCGTCTTCGCGGTGTTTCTTGTTCTGCTTGTGAGGGCTGCTGCTGCTGTTGGTGGGAGTGGTCGTGTTGTTTTGGTCGTCCAGCTGTTCCTCAGTGTTCCTGAGGTGGAGAGACGGCGGAGTCGAGGAGATTGAGTCCACATGACCTCCTCCTCCCATGGAAACATTTCCAGCCCACCATCGATTCGCCATGGCCTTCTTCTAATTAAATCTTGTAAAATATGCAATAAAAAAAACCAGAACCGAAAATCCAAATCCAAGCTCTTGTTTTTACACTCTTTCTGTTTTTGGGTGGACAACGACAACCACCTAGCAAGCTAATTAAGGAAGGTAGAGATAAAATCTTTATCTTCTCCTTAATATTGCACCTCTCTCCCTCTTCTTCTTCTTTGTTTGTTTGCACTTGCAGGAACAGATTCAAAGATCTCTCTCCAATAAATAAATTACAAAACAATCTCCAAATCCACAGATAGAATCCAAAAAACCTTATCCCTTATTAGAAAACCCACCTAAACCCAATCTCCCTTTTTTTATTTGAAAACCCTAATAGCTAAAAACCCAGAAATATTAGATCCAACAAACCGCATTTAAAACCCAACAACCCTAACCCCACTTCTTCAAAAACCAAATCTAAACTCAAAAATCTTCAAACCCCACCTCTTAAATACCCAAAGATTCACATATTTGAGCTCAAAACAGTAACATATATATATATATATACGCGTATGTATATTATTGGGTACCCACAAAGTGCATGCCTTGTGTACTTCTCTGATAAGCCTTTTGAGTTTGCAGCAGCTTCTAGTTTTCTTCTTTCTTCCTTGGAGCTTGGTTTGCTTTGCTTTCTCTCAAGTCTCAATCAATGGGAAATCTTGGGTTGGTTAGTACGAGCAAACGAACCTAAGATTTTGTATTTTTGGTAGGTGGCTTCTTTTCCTCTGTACTTTCAGCTCTCTCTCTCTCCCTCCCTCCCTCCCTCCCTCTACTGCAAGGCTGCGGGGAGCGTACGTTAAGGGTCCCAACACTCCCTGGCGTACTATAACAATTCGTGCATCGAATATCTCTTTAATAAACCTGTTAAACAAAAAAAAATATAATCCGAGAGGAAAATGAAAAAGGCGGTTTTGCAGAGATGCCAGGTTTTTTCTTGTCCCTCTGGCTTTTGACTCTACAAGTTCCGAGCTTCCAAGTTGAGTGAGCTTTTGCTCCTCTACAGCCAACACCAACTAGACTCTCCAACCACAACCAACCACCAGGAAGAAAAAAGCATCTTTGTTGTCTAGGAGGGGGGGATTTGATTTGACGGGAGGAGGGCAGAGGCGGTGGAAAGGTGTAAGGGGAAGTGTGCAAGCAAGCTTAAGAAATGGAGTTTATCTCTCCTTGTAGGGTTTTTACAGAGAGAGAGAAAGAGAGCAGGGTTGTGGGTGCGCACTGCACATGGAGTAGTGGGAACACGTCACGGTCTGCCAGTCCCGACAAGGTATCGAGAACCAATGTCTGAACGCATCACCGCCAAAAACCGCGCCCAATGACCCATACGAGTCATAGGACCTGTTGGTCATTTAACAGTATGGTATGTGGTTGAATATAACGATATAATTTATGTTACAAGTTGATGAGAATTAAAACATTCGAAAGTTGTCTATGTGTACTTGTCACGTATTGAAAGAAAAATAATGTTGCTCCGCAATAACGCATCAATATATCATTAATATTAAATGGTCGGACTAATTAACCGTTAAATCATTTTGTAAAATTATCTTAGCTAAATTTTAGACGAATTTGGATTCTCTTCAAATTTTTTTTTTGTGAGGATCTTAGAAATTCTTAAATTGTGTTCGTTCATCGTATATCATGTAATTAGTTTTCGTTAAGTATTATTTGTATTCAATTTTAAATAAAAAAATTATTTATTAAATTACGCTATATATAATAAATAAATATAATTTACGAATTTTGGAAATCTCACAAAAAAAATTCAGAGAGAATCCTGTTGGATTTTAGACGCTGTGCTGCAGTTTTGCGTGTACGATGTTTATCTCTGTAACAAAAGAGTGTAATTTTGTTTAGGGTTTGTACAATTAATGTTGAGATCTTGATTTATGTTTGCTTTTGCTAATGTTAACCATGGCAAGCAACTGCGGACGGTCTTTGGCCTCTGCAGTGTCACAAGTTTTTACCATCTTTTTTTTTTTAGAAACATCAAGTTTTTACCATCTTTTAGCATACCCTTTTACCCTCTATCTGGCCTACTAAAGCATTTTCACTCATACCAACGTCACGTGATAAGATTCTCTTCCTTCTCTTTCCTTCTCTTTTCTTTCATATTTTATCTTTTGTCTTTGTATTTATAAAAAAAATCAATACAAAATGTTAAAATGATTTAATCGTAAATATTCAAATAAAAGAAAAAAAAAATTAGAAGGAAAGATAATCCTCATCTTTCAAAATAACCCATCTTTTAGTATCATGAATTTTTTATTTGCTCGTGAGATTTCGAAATTGCACCGGTTAGAATTCTTTTTCTTGTCTATTTGGTTGTCTAATTCTCTCGTTACGGTGACGAGTGTGAAATGTTTGACTTGTTTATAAACTACATTTGCACCATTATGATCAAACTTTGCATTTAATTGTCGTTTAGGGATACGAAATATCAATTGGAGAAAAACTAATGTTTCGTGACGACTTTAATCAACGTAGTGTAAAGGTAACTTCTATGTCAACTCAAAGTTGAAATCTGAAATTGTTATATTATCACATTATCAATTTAACAGATAGTAACAAAATCAAGTTAATATAAAGCATAAATTGTTACGATTTTAATATCCCACAAAACCTACTTATTATTCCATACAATACAAAAGGTCATTTTCCCAAACCCTTAAATTCCCAACAATTTGATCTACTATTAAGCTTATAAAAAGGCAATCAAACTTTCAAGCCTTGTCTGGATGGAGTCGCTGCGTCAGCTAATTAAGTGGATGGAGAAGGGTGAGAAAATGCAGCTGCCGAACAAGCTCAGTTATCCATGGTTGTTTATACTCCTCCCTCGTACGAAAAAAGCTAGTTTTAAAACGATATTACGAGCATCTCCGATAAAATCTTTAACATTATGTTTGGAAGAAGTTTAAGATTATTAAGGAATTTTAAAATGATAGGATTTTATTTTATAAAATTTGTGAATTTTCTTGCTTAGTTAACCTAAAAGAACAATGAAATTAATTACGGAATTTGTTATTTTTAAGCTCTCAATCATATAAATTGAAAAATGACACTTATTTACATATAATTTAAACTTGAGAATTTGAGGTCCCAAATTCCAAGTTTTTTATTTTTCCACACGAAAATTCTAAATTCCTATGTTTATGAATTTAAACAAAAAAATTGATGCACGTCAATTTACAAATTTTGACTATTATCCAAATTCTAAGTTTATTTTCCTCGTCCAAACATAATGTAAATATCTCTTCTAATACAAATTTGTTGACCTATACGACAGTTTGAAGACCAGAATTTACTACTTCACAATTTTACGTTCCAAAATACTCTACAAATTTCAATATTTTAGAGGCCAACTTGGGAGAAAAAACAAAATCGGGGCTAAAAACGGAACAACCCTTCGTGTTTGGAAGGCAAATGTGCAATTAGTCCTTCAAAAAATAAAAATCGAAAAAATATGGGCAAGGTGAAATCACCAATAGAAATCAGATAAGAATTTTGCCTACGAAAACAGATCCTCTGGTAAACATCATCGTCTCTCAGAAAGCCATTACAAAATCCCGACGATGTCACGAACTTGCAGTTCATCAAACTGAACATATCAATGTCAAACACAAGCACAAAGAACGGTACCACGAACGAGTAAAAGTACTAGTTAAACTAGCAATCAAGTTCTGTACATTGTTCAACAAATCAAACAAAAATATTTCACCTTTCTCTTTGGCAAGAAATGAATCCTTCCCTTCCGGATTTTCTCGACGCAACAAAAAATTAGGGTGTGGGGAGTTAAAACAAGGGCATAAGTACCCTACTACAAAACACGACATATATGATATCTTTAGACAACAAAGTTATAGATGGATTTCAAGAAAGTTGAAGATGATTACGAAGATAAAGTTCGATCTGCTTGGGTTTCCCGACCACCAGATATAGCAGTTCCCACTGTGCTAAATCCCGCATCTTGCAGCTATACAGCCAAAATTAAGAGGTCGCCTGCCAGAACAAGACCACCTCCCTCTGTACTACTCAATGGTCGCAACCACGTGTGCTTACTAATATGCCTTAAAAAACCAGATCCGGCTGCAAAGACTATCCAACATTTTAGCCTCCACTGCTGGAACCTTCAGCAGCAGCTGTTTCAGTTGGAATTGAAGTGCCCGTCACATCAGAAACTCGCACTGATTCACCCTGCTTAGTCTCTGACTGCTCTAAAATTGGATCACGGGAAATTTCAGACTGCAAAGATGGAGCAATTTTATTTACATGTAGCCACGTCAACTCCCACAAGCTATTATCTCCTCCGTCACTTTTCTCCACAAGAACTCCCCTTAAAAACATTACAAGTAAAGTGTTCTTAAGTAGCTCCGGCACTTGGTCCCGTAGCTTATCACATTTTCTCCCTCCAACTTTCACCTTCATATATTTTTCCATTCGATTGAGAACACCCAGCCATAGTTTGCTGAAGGTTGTTAGCTGTGATAGCTCGGGTAGTAGCTCCAGAAAAACTTTGGACAGGAGCTTCAAGGCTAGGATAAGCGTGCCTTCCATGTTGCGGTATTCCTTTGGGGAGTGTCCCTGTGCAATTTCAAGCAAGTCATCAAGCATTGTGAAGATCACCATGTCAAAGCACTGTAACCAGAGACCATGTGGAAGAGGAATCCCATCCACTCCAGTCAAGCACCTCCGTAAGATGGACAAAGCATGATTCCTAACCTCTTCTCTCTGGTCCAAACAAACTTCTCTCAAACCCTGAACAAGCCGTAACCACATTTGCCCAATATCCTGAGACATTTTCAGAGTTTCTTCCTCATTCATAGATTGCTTAGAGTCACAGGCCCACCTTGCTAAACAATCAACAGAACCCGCCATAAGATCCAGTGCGCACACAGATCGCTCCACCTCTCCAACACGAGACTCAGCAAACTGCCTTGATGCATCAACACAGAGAACATAATTGGCAGGCAACAAGTGAGTTCCTTCAGACATAATGAAGAACAGTGCATCAAATCCAGCCTCTGAAGCTTCTGGGTGCCGAGCAGTAATGGAGAGTAGTGATGTAACTATTCGCCACCCCAATGGTGATCTTATGTGAGAGGCATTTGCTTTCACAAGGCGACCAACTTCCTGCGTAATTTGCTCACAGTATGCGTCAGCAACCCGAGCATCAAGCTTCAAAACAAGGTGCAATGATCGCAAGAGTTCATCAGCAAGGTCCTCTTTATAGGGAAGCAGCCGCTGGCAAATCCGAATAAGTCCAAAAACAGCCTTCTCTACCAGGGCACAAGGCATCACAGTAGACTGAACAATGTTCGATATGTGCTCATACACAATCTGCCAAAGAAGCATAATCCTATCCCTATTATTTAGGGTAACAGCTATCAGCAACTCCAAACAAAAAACTGCAGTATCTTCATCCTCGGGTGAGCTGCTCCCTTTCTGGGGTCGTCCTCCAGCCCAGATCAGTGCCTGTGCAAGCTGTAACAGGGATTCAGCCTGCAGAAACTTGCTCTCTGAAAATATGCCATCAATGTGGCACTTTTGAATTGTCTGAAGGGTGCGCTGATGAGCAGCAAGTTCTTCTTCAGTAGGCTGTGCTCTCGGCTCCTCTGTGTCAAGAGATAAGAGCTGACTAAACCGGCCAATAAATCCGGAGGATTTCCTAGGAGTACTCACAGGGGGCATAGGGACAGATGATAGAGAATTGGTTATGGGCTTGCCATGACCTGTGTCAGCAGAAGACTCTGAATCACCAGCTGCTTCACTGGCCACAAATGCCGACAGAAGACCAAGTTTGTGTAATCTTAAGATACAGTCGAGAACATTTCTCCAGCCTGTGCGAATGTAATCACCATATGTATTGGCAAACGTGAAAACTGTCACAGTTGACATTCTAGCTTTTGGGTCATCACCAAAGGCTATAACAGGTTCCTCATAAGATGATGGGTTTAAAAGGGTTGTAAACTTACAAAGAGACACAACCAGATCGTCGAGCACATCTTCAAGATGGTAGCACGCTGCAATCTTTGCAACACATAAAAATCCATCAATGCATGTTTGGTAAATCTCTTCATGTTCTGCATGATCAAATACCACAGAAATGGCAGCAATTGTGGGGCCTGACATTATAGCAAACATGTCCTGGTCAAGGTAGGCTCTGGTATCTGATACAATGAATGGAGCACTCTTCTTCGATTTGTGTATTAAATCAATCCAACGGCTTGGGTTCATTTCAGGATAACCAGCACCTTGTTCTGGAGTTGTGCGGATCTCATCCTTACAT